CACTTTCTTATCAAACCGCGAAGTACGCATTTCTAGTACAGCAAATCCGCGCAACATTACACCTTCCAGTTCGGAACTCACTCGATGTAACCTATCGCTCCGGCGTTCGGGAACTCTGGAATCTATCTAGCGAGAATGACTCGACAGACGGTCGAAAGGGCTCTTTTCAGCCCAATATCTTCGGATATGATTTTGTCTCACCACTGAGTGACTCGTCTGCCCTCATCGTCACGATAAGAGTATTGGACCCTGAGCTTGTCGGAGCTGAATGTTTTCTATATGGACGGGCTCCAGGCAGTATGGTTGGCTTTCGGAGTGACCATTTTCTCATTGGCGACCTCTCAAGCACCTCTATCACTGTGCGCGTCAACCATACCTAACATAAGCTCGAAACCGTTCGCATTGAATGGAGATGTGAATGGGGGAATGACGATAACGCTGTCGAGGCGAAAGGTGGAGTGGTCAGATGCCGAAGAAGACACGCCTGGAGCTATATTGGCTTGCTCAAGCTCTGCATCCGGCGTTCGAGAGGCGTGGAATTCCTATCGGATTTCTACGAGCTGTTTTGCTTCGACAACCCATGCCAAATTTGCTGACACCACTGATTGGAAGAGAGAAATGACGTGGCGGACATTTAGAGACTATTATAAGAGATATGACACGGAATTTGGTATAACAGGTCTTACTTTCAATAATTTTAAACAAGTCTGACATCACTGTTCCCTCTACAGGCCAACCGCATTTCTGGTCTGACACACCAGCTGGTGTATCATTCAATTTGTCGTCGTATTTTAAATGTGACGAATTGGAAAGGCCGGGGGGGGCTAAACGAGTTGTCAATTGCGCTGACCAAGCTGCTGTAGTAGAGCTTGGGTGTAGCCTGGGTCGTCGTGCTGATGAGCCTCCTATGAGCTGGGTGGTGCATGAGCGGTTTGGTTTTATCAATAAGACCCACCTGGTGGGCATCACGGACCAAAACCACCACCACATTCTGGTCAACAACCCGTTCTTTGTCGACAGGGTCGAAACTGCCGTTCTGGACATCAATGACCCCGCACGTAGTGCCTTCGCTCAGCACGTCTACCATTCATTTGGCAACTCAGCCACTTCGGGATCGGAACATGTCGCCGATACTGACTATATATATGATGCGTGCTGCGGACCGTATTTAGGCAATGAGACAGCGGTCACCTACAGAGCCCTGACCATCGACACCACAACACGTCTCTACGACCAGAGGGATGATATGCATCCTCGCATTATCGCTAAACATCCTGGTATCCCTTGTATAGATGGACAGCATCAGACGTCTCCAGAGTCTCTCGGTGCTAATGGAGCCGCTAGCGCAATATTGGGCGTCTTTGGGCTGCCAGTTGAAGCAACCAGTTCGATGACGTACGTCAGCTGGGCCCACGTTCCGGAGTGGATCAAGGAAGTATTGGATGATAGTTGGTGCGTGACGGATGGGCGCGTCGGTGTGGGGGAGGCGAATGCGCACACGCTTTGGTATCTCAACCGTCAAGGCTGTTCCTCGTCAACACTGAGGATCACGGTCTACGTCCAGTCACCGATAGATGCCAACGGGGTCTTGGACATGGCTGCTGCCAGACAAGCAACACGTCGGTGTCTTGCAAGTATTATCCAAAGCACCGACGCCCCTCTCCAGTTCGTATGGACACGCGCAGAGCTTGACGAGTTCGGCGAGTATTCCGTGCGGTATACACGTGGTGGCAGATGTATCGTTGTTGCTGCAGGTCAAACCGTTGTCGAGATATGGAACAGGGATAACTCGATGGCGGTGGAGACTTTCGAAGATTGCGCTCGCAAACTCCTGGAACATACCATTCGCAGGGAATCGGATGGTCTACCCCTTACTGCTCCTATCATCAAACGTGGTCCACTCGCTACCGGAAGTCATGACGAGCATCCGAGCAAAATCGTGGTCCAAAACGATGGCCGATTTTCGCTCGACTTTGAGCTAGATAAACCCATCGCTGCTGCCAATGCTACTACCGAAGGATACGGTTATATGTTTGAGAGGTATGTTCAGGAGGTTACAGAAGATTTAGTCACTGTCAAGCTCATGATGGTGGCACGATACGCTGGGAGTCATGTGGTGACAGTGCACTTCGCAGATTCGGAGACGATGATATCGCGATCGCAAAAGTTTGAGGTTGAGGTTGAGATTGTTGAATGAGGGGGGTACTAGATGTCTGTACTATCACGATGGTTCCAAGTCAGTACACAGATCTGAAACCGAGAGCGATTTGCTTACACATATCTCTGGTGAATTCAGAGGATACCGCTGTAACCTGCGAATTGTGACAAGGACTTGACATTCAACACTCAGTCCATAGTGCCTGGAAACTTGTGCGAGGAAGAGTTATGTCACGTATAATGGTCGATGGATTCAAGAATTACCTAGGAAATTGGCTTCTTTCAGATTTCATGTTATCTTTCTAGTGAGCTAACGGTGGGGAGTACGGGGTCGGGGTCAAAGCGAATATCCAAATTCATGAGTCAACACGAGTATGCCACTAATTTTGTTCCTAGTACTAGGTTATTAGGCCTACAACCACAACCATGAACTGACGATACACGTTTCCTCTGCCAGAGGACTCACTAAATCCCCAGCATCAGTTATCTGCGTCACCGATGCAATCGTGTCTAGAGCTTTAACTGTAGATTCCACGTGGAAAACATTCCCAACGTACATCATCTTCCCCTGCTCTCCATACACGAGACGCACAGACAATTTTCCTTCCACCCTCTCCCACTCCGTAACGGGAAAAAAATTCCTCGTGGAAAGGTTACGCTTCATGTCTTGAAGGACATTCCCAGTTCAACCGATCGGATCACAAATCCTATCACCATCCATTAACAAGTCACAGGGCAAGCAAAATAAACTCACGATGGAGATATCAAGAACACATATGGGATAAGCGTAGTGCTATACCTCTTCGCGTCCTCCCAGGACTTCCAATAATCGCGCGCGCCGCTGGGAGATAACCTAACCGTAGGCGAACCGTACTTGGGATTGCTAGTTCTTCTGGCCATATTGTCAACAGCGATAACGAGGGCGGCGGATGGGAGAAGTAATCGAAGAAAGACATGGCTAGTGCCGTGAGCTGGATGTATGCACGCGATAATGGACTGCTACGTACCCTGAAGAGGTTCGAGAATAACCCTGTATTTTCCTTGGTGAATCCTGTTCACGAGATCGGTCTTTTGCACGTTGCTGCAAGCATCAACGGCTACTGCCAATCAGAACGAGTAGCGCGTGTCGTTGAACCCTGAACCCTCTATAGTGACGAGCAATTCCTCTTGGCCCCGGGTTGCCTATATAATGGTTAACAATGTTCCAAGGTAACGGATAGTGAATCACCTTCAGGTCTCGAGGTAACGCGATGCAGCAAAGGGGGTCGTCCATGTTTGCTGGGTTCGAGGTCGAGGTCGAGCACCTTGAAAGCTATGCAAAAGGCCACTTGCAGCCATGCTGGACCATACTAGATGTCTTGGACATCGAAGAAAGGACCTTGAGTTACGAATTGACGCTAGCCTTTGTGGATGTTGGTGTTGAAGCTGAGTTTGTCGATCGCGTCTACTGGCACGTGATTCTCAGGCTCTTAGCATCGACCTGCTAGCCTGGAACCCGGGGCGGGGGTAACCCCCGTAGTCGACAAAACTGCCCAAGTTTCAAACTCCGAGCACTTGCCGATTCGCAGCCATCCACGTGCAACCGTGTACCGCGTTCGCGTCGTTGATTTTTGCTTCCGTCTTCACCTCCACTTCATGTGTGAGAGTGCCAATGCGCTAACGGAAGGCCTGTCAACGCCACAAGGGGTAGAAGTGGGTAGAAGAAATGGGCCATGATGAAGAGGGGTTGCTGGGATATTAGCGTACTGAGAGGGCGTAAATGGGATACAGGATGCAGTGGCATCATCATCAGAGCTTGATACATCTGTTGGGGTATTCGGAGGCTCATATTCCCCCTCCATGGGCAATTGAGGTGCGTTGAAGGAATATCTCACAAAATTTCATTAAGATATAGCATGTGTCATCAGTATTGACAACATGCCGCTCTTGCGGCATGCATCGGAGTATCAAATTTGGACAGTTTTGTCGCCCACGGAGGTTACCCCCGCCCCGGGTACCAGGCTTTATCCACAGTTACGAGTACCGCGAGTATCTATAAAGCCAGCTTGCCAGGCTATCGACCTGCATCGACTCGGACCAGCATCTCAAGATTCCCTTCAATTTGAGGCGCATTGACTATCGACGATACAATGCAGCTGCATATCACATAGATAAATTCATTGTCGACATCGACGCCTTTGCTTGTAGGCTCGTTCTGGTGCCTTCTGGGAGTCGGAAAAGTGATATTTGGTACGTGAAGCTGCATAGTGTTCGTGACAAATCTAACTTGTATATGTCAGGTTCAATACCCGAGATAGCTTAATATATACGGACGCCTTCTTCAACCTCTTCACCTCCATTCCCGACTTTTCTAGGGTCACCATGCCTCCCAAAAACAGCCAGTCAAGCAGCTCTGCTCTTTGCAAAAATTTCCAGAACGCTCCCACTAACCCTACCCATATCTTATCTGCCGATATACCTCCTCACTTGGTCGACTTTTATCAAGTACCTGTCGAGAACGATATCATAGCCGGCGTGGAGTGGATCTATTGCCTATGGACACTTTTACATCGCACAGCTCCTCCTTCGTATCGTGCCTTCAAAGAGCTCGATTCAACAGCTAGAGAGCTACACACTCTTCTCACACAATTCCGTTCCTGGGATAGGTGTACCACCTTCAAGCTGTGAGCCTGAAATCCAAACCGCCTTCCCTTGCCAGACTAACGCGAATCACCTGCAGTATCATTAGGTCGCATGTTCGAACCAAAGCACTCCACACTATCTACGACATTCTCGAATGTCAAGGTTACCTCGAGAGCACCTGCCCTGGGCTCATCGACGATATTCTCCAGGAAATCATGGCCTGCGGCTCGGACAGTGTAGCTTTCAGTGCTGATCTTCGTCGTCGATACAAGATAGCTGCGCCAATGTTGGAGAACAAGATGTGGGCATTGCAAAAAGTGGTCATTAAACAGCATAAAGTCAGTCAACTCTTCTTCATGCAATCATGCGATACACCTTTACTCACCAATCCATCACCAGGATTTCAACCTTAAGAATCACGTTAGATTCCTCAATTACCTCTACCTGTGTGCATTGACAATAGCTCTTCTGTGCGCGCTTTTGGCGTTTGCTTCGAGGTTCCTTGATATAGATCACGATTCTCTGTTTGTTTGCCTTTTGTTTCTATTTCTGTCATTTGGTTCTATACTGGCGATAAGGAGTAAGTCTTTTGCTAATGCAAATGATCGTAACTCATCTCCTAGAAGCAGCGCGAATTCTTATGCGTGCAGAGCTGTCTCTTAGGCAGACGCTCTGAACACCGACGCATTCAAGCTCATTTGAGCTGTGAGGAGCATGGTAGGGCTGCTGACCCACATTGCAGACTCCAAAGATTCACCGCTTTTGCATGTATCACATGCAAAACGATTCCTAGAGGCGTTCCAAACTTCGGTATGTCATATTTCTGCTCGTGTCGCTTTTCGTTGTTGACGTAACCAATTACCTTCAAGTTTTTGGGAGGACGTTCAGTTTTATCAGGTCTTCGGCGGTAGAATTTAGCTGGAATGACTGTGAACATGGTGACACTGGAGATAATACAACCCACCAATATGCCCTGTCAACTCGTATTCGATATCCTCGGAGTAGCTTTTCTTGTATTCCTCAATTGCGTCCACACTAAGGCCATTCGGAAGTGTTCCTTGCAACCGTAATAGGAACATGCCGACATCTTCATCTCAGGAACAAACATCGCCCTGTCCTTACAAAAACGAAGGCCAGCAGTACTTCTCCCAGCTCTCGTCTTCAAGATTTAGGGGATGGCCTCTACTCTAGATTGGACACGAGGATTATACATAACAAATGGACGCGCAACGACAGTCTATGTATAGCCTGTTCTTAGAGCTCTGTGTGTAGTTCAATACATCATATGTTGCGAGTATTGATAAAAATTTGGAGACTGAAGCTTTACAGAAGATTTTTACAAGTGTCCTACACCAATGCTTCCTGGACCGATTGCGGGTTGAATACATGTAATCTTCGTCATCAATTTCATTCCTGCCTAAAGCGCCTTCTTGTTCTAATCCGCAGAATGATCTGCGCAATTCCCACCTCTCAATGGCAGATGTAACATTGGGCCAGTCTGTTATTAGACAGTCGCCCTCGTAGACGCCAGCAGTTTTTGTGATGGTGAAAAGCACTTCCTATTTCATTATAGGATTTCAATCAAAAGGGAGAGCTTCAACCCCAAAATAGAAGCACAGAGCGTACTGACAGCTTTGCGAAGCACCGTAAAAGGTACAACCACTTCGCTCTTTGCTTAACCACAGTCACTCCTTCATCTTTCTGGCCCTGAGTCCTCCACGCTTGCTCCTTTACTACGTCCATCCCTGGTAAGCCGACCATCCTTATCCCAGCCTTCCCTTGGTATCAGCTGCTATGGAGACTTTAGTCAATGCATCTTTGCCGCCAAAGCCAAATTCAAACCGTTGTTCTCTTTCATCGTGTTTTTAGGCTTTCTATCGCCTTTCGTCCTTTGGATATATGTACTCACCATTTTCTGTAGTGATCTGCGTGTGTTTGTTGTCAACTCCTCAAACACTGTCCATCCCGTAATCGTTCCTGTATCCAAGAGGATCCCTGTGTCTGAGAACAGTACGTCCAATCTAGCTCCAATGCTGGCCAAACTTGCTGAGTTGTCATTAGTTGCCGTTATTACTGTTGTGGGAGCCCCCGACAATCCTAGAAACCAGAAGGTATGCTGTTTTAAAGCATACCGACTCTTCATTCATAGCCACTGCTGTGACAGTATTCAAGCTGATTACTCGAACTTCGTGATCTGAAATTTGTCTAATCCCGATACCAACTATAATGTCGGTTCTTATCATATTATCCGACAGTCATGAAGAGCTCACTTGCTTTATAGATGTTCGATTATTCTGTCCACGTGCAAATCCTCAACAGGACTGGTGAAGTCCTACGTCTCCTAGATTCGCCCGCGCTACATGGGCATTGGGTTAATATCCCAGATACAATTGATTCCCAATCAAACTCACAGTTTCA